AGATAGAAAGAGTTCGTCGTCTTGAATTCGAATCTCATCCACCGCTGAGGTGATGCGAAAGTGCTAAAGCAAAGAGAGTGAGAGAGCGCGAATTCCATCTTAAATGAGGTGCTACAGACCCAGGTTGAGATCTAGTAGATATTACTGAAGTCAATCACAGCGTGTATGCAACTCGATCTCTGGTATCTCAATAGTTTTGGGACAATCTAAGCACAGCGGTGGCTCACAGCAAAGTAGGGTAAACAGCTCCGTGCTTCCATGGGCGAAAATAATTATGAAACGGATAGTCGATACGCCGTGAAATATCACTCTTAGTCTAGGCATCTTACAAATCAACGCACAGCTCTAAGATTCAACGACAACACTCCACGTTGAACAAAAATATCAAATTCCAAATTACACAACAAGGCTAATGGTAGCTGAGAAGTAAAAGAGAAAATCCAAGCATGGGCTCCACGTATTAGACGTTACGAACGTAGAGTAGATTTCTGTTTACATAATCGGTTGTTTGAAACAGATGCGAAGAGATTCTTTCCATCGCAACCTGACTCAAATTCCGAAAGGCAATGCTGTATTTCTTTCAAAAGATGACGTCCAATTTTGGGCAGACATGTGAAAAGACAGCAGATCCTACACGCATCTTGAATCGAATCTGAAGTTGATGCTGCCAATGAACATGTGTAAGCAGTGGAACATGTTCACAAGATCTCGGAGCAAGCAATTAAGAACATCTCTTCCAAGCAATTAAGAACATGGGAAAGTGGAAATCTCCCGAGATTGATCAGCTTCAGAATTATTGAATTAGGAAATTAACAGCATTATTTTTCATCCGGCAAAGGCTGTAAATACAATTTTATAAAATACAAAGGAACTTCCGGAATGGCTCACACGCGGCATCAAAGTATTGTATTTTCTATCCAAAGCGGAAGACAGTTATTTGTCGAAGAATTACAGGCCAATCAATTGTTTGCCAGCAGCGTACAATGTTATAGCTGCAACTGTAGCTAATAAAATGTGGGTACATAGAGAATAACCATGTGTTGCCATTTGAACAGAAAGGATGTCATAAATGTTCCAATAACTGTAAGGAAATTTTGCTACAAAATAGTCTTCTTCGATGTTGTAAGGAAACGAAATATTATTTAAGCGTCTTGGATTGACGAACAGAATTTCTTTGGCAGAGTACCATACGATTGGGTTTTGAAGACGATGGAGATCTATCGATTCCATCATAGTTTTATTGCGTTTTGCAAGGCTAGTATGAAGTCGTGGAGTACCAGCTTTCTATTACATAGCGGAAAGGAAGTAGTAGAAACAAGAAGTATTCCGATTAACAGGGGATTTTTTCAAGGAGATTCGCCATTCTCTATGCTGTTATGCATCGGCATGATTCTGCTATATAGACTGTTGTCGCACACTGATTTTGGTTACATGCTCTATGATGACGAAAGACCAGTATCATATTTGTTTTACATGGAAGATCTTAAAGTGTTGCTACGAATGAAGCGATTCTCTCCCAAAGGCTGCCTGCCGTGAGTGATTTTAGTAATTACATTTCCATGATGTTTGGTCTTGACAAGTGTGCAAAATCAACTTAAAGAGAGGCAAAGTGGCAACGTCTTAGCACATTGAAGATAATACGAAAATGTTAAAGAAATTGTGGAGGGACAAACACCTTTATGGACACTATCTAAAAAGAATGGACAAGGTACAGATAAATAAAGATCTATCATTTATATGACTTAAAAGGGTAAGAATGAAGCGAGGAAGCAGTTATAATAGTTGCTCATGTTCAGAGAGCCCAAGTTGAGAACTCGACATTATGATAAAGCGGTTCTCAAATTTTCCCAAGATCATAAATACCGCAATACCTGCTACGAAGAAGTAGAAACCGTTGATCATATTGTCTCAGTATGTTCAATTCTACCAAAGACCGAATACTTGAAAAGACAGTACAGTGTGTGTAGTTATTTCCACTCGAAGATCTATAACCCCCTCAGTTCCAAACACATGCTCTAAGTGGTACGAACACAACCGGTGACATCTGTTGGGCTGTGCACAATACTGTACTGCCAAGAAATTCAAACTGACCGCATGATAGCGGCAAACAAACCTGATATTGATCCGGTATTTGGAGAAAGAAACGTTACTTGTAGATGTTGCTGTGCTGTTTGATCGAAACGTCGTATTCAAGGAGACAGAGAAACGTCTTAAATACAAGAGTTTGGGAATCGAGAACAACTGAATGTGGGGCGCAGTTCGTACCGATAGTAATCGGAGCTTTGGGATTTGTCCCGTAAAATTTATGTCAGAACTTGACTATCCTCCCAGGCCATTCAAAAGACATTTTGCACAAAGTATTGGTGCTGGTAGTCCCTAGATCTGCTCCTTAGAAAGCTTAATGCAATCCGGAGTAGACTTTATAATGAACTGACTCATTAGATCGTTAGTCGTGAATTAGCCGTTAAATTCTGCGTCGATTGGTGGTATGGGTACGTTATTTTTATAGTCTTATTACAGTGGTGATGGATGGGTATTTGTGTGTTTTGTGTTCAGTTATTTCATTTCGTGTAATTGTTAGGTGAATAATTTTGAAGACAGAAAAAGTTTTAGTGACCGTATGTTTGTGCGTGTGAAAACATCTCTTGCTTTCTATGAGGGATTGATGACTTTTCTCACGTCCGCTATTTATTTAAATATTAATTTCATTCGGTAGTCATTATAATCTGTTGTAAATTAGCTGGGATATTGTTTTCATCTCTTTATTTAATTCAAAGTCAGTGTGAATATTATTTACAAAAGTGGGAGAGATTAAGAGATTTTTATCTCCTTGCAGCGAAGTAACATTGGAAAACTAGATTTTTTGTCTTGGTCTGCAGTTTCCCTAGCTCTGCAAATCTGTCATACACTGGTATTGTAGTATTATATTGAACTGATTCTGTGATTGTTCATTCGGATTGAGGTCTAATTCGTCTGAATTATGGGTTATTTTTTAATAACGACTCACTGGAATTGTCGGTAATGGTGTAAGCGTGGCCATTAGCTGCGTCAATTTCTTAGACAAGGTTATCAAGTAGTCTGTTTTCGGTCCTGGTGATGCGGTGCGAGCCGTTATCGGTACTTTGCTCAACATTTGAATTACCATGCCTGGATATTTCATGCATACTGCGGATTTTGGCAGCTCATGTAGGCACCGAATGTGAGATGATGTTGAATCATTGGGTCGCTGGCGTTATGTCTGTAGCACTCTCGCTGTCAGGTAGTAAAGTTGCCATGGTTCCTGCAATGCTGTGATCGATGCCTTACTTAGATGAAAGGGGCTTATCGTTAATATTAACTGATAAACGACTGTTAGATTACGCGCACTATGTACTCACTAATTGCACTTCACTTCACTATTTGACTGTTATTCCTTTTGGATGTAAGGTAAGTAACTGCTCTGACTAGACCGGAGCGAGCGATATTGTCATCACGACTGTTTGCCACTGAATGACAGCACAGCGCTGGACAAGGAATGTGTACACTATATCTAGGAAGAAAATAGTGTTTTTTTGATTATGATTAAGCTTTTAGAAAATAAATTATAAGCATTCTTGTTCGTCATCAGATGGTATAAACGGTGCTGTCTTTTGGCGCGGGTAACTCCGGTCATCTTCTATAATTAAATAAGGCCATCCTACTTAACAGAATGTATAACATGTAAATCGAAACACAGATGTCATTTATTTAACTTTTCGGAAATTATTATCCCCTGGAACAATAATGCTAAAGTTTACAATATTATCATTGAAAAATATTATAATATGTTACTATATGATGTCTAATTTACCGATCTTTTGTATTGTAAATATTTCTGTAACTGGTTAGCGCTCTACTGTAATTATATATTTACATTGCATTATAATATTGTTATATTATATTTTTTGTAGTAGAACATTGTATCTTTTCTTTTCTACAATTTCATTATCACTATGTTTTTGTATCTGTTATTATTAGAGAGCTATCTGGCGTGCTAATTTTGTAAATATTTCGGTAAATGGCAATGGACTCCGTTTGATGTGACTTTGTTTTGAAATATTTAAAAAAAATAATGAAACCCAACCAAGACCACTAAAATACATCCAAAACGTAAAGAAGTTTAAAATAGATAAATGCATTACGAATTAACACTGGTGAGGTAAACAAATCTTCACGTGCATTTTATTGTATGAATTATACGTATCTTAGGAATGTGATCAACACGGTATGCGACGGAAAATAATCATTTGTTTCTCTCCAATGTGTGTTCACTGTTTTTCTTTCTCTGCAGAAAAGATAATTAATGAATTGTCGTTTATTCGACCTTCTCTTACTTCTTATTTTCCTCCACGACAATCGATACAAAACACACAATTGCAATTGATAAAAATGTGCAATTAATAATATTTTTTTAATTATTCCAAACTTTTCCCAACATATTCTCTATCTTATCAACTGGAGAAAACTCAAATTTTCAATTATTCAAACCTTTAACTTAAATTCATTTATTGCAAAACAAAAGAATTAACAAATTTATTTACCATAACAAATGAACTATTCTATGTTATTTTAATCCTACAACCCAAATTATCAGTTGCTAAATATGACGCTAAAAACAATCATACAATCTGTATAATATGTCAAGTTAAAAAATATATTATTTTCATTGTCATTGTTTTAGTAAATTTGTATTTTCTGGAGAAAACGCATAATTAGTCGAAATAGAATAAATTCAATGGAATTCAAATAGAACACGTTGAATTTTCTATTTAATTCCAATTTATATTTCTCGGTGGGAAAGTCCTGGAGCCTTTTCGTGAGGTCGTTGTAAAAACAATACAAAATATACCAGATTTCAATTATTGAAGAATGTAAATGATTTAAATGAATAATTTTAGGTCTAGTATACACACTACTTCAAGTACATTTGGAACTTGAATATCTATCTTAAATTTATTACAAGACTGACGATTAATTTTTACAATTCCACTTTACAGAGCATTATAAATAATTGTCCGAAGTTTACAAATGTAATATTGTTAAAATAACACTGAAATAAATAAAATAACTAGATTTCTCATCTTCAGCGATGCATAAGACAATTGACTTAAACATCTTTCTAACATAAATGGACTAGTCCAATGAATGTGCTAAGAACCTTATCTATTCTGAAAGATCTAAAGTCTTTAAGGTCGCTTTAAAAGGTACAGTATACTGTCTAATTCTCTCACAGAAACTATACATAAAATGCGACAACAGTATTTTTTGAATGAAAACTAATGAAAAAGTGAGGTTTTTCGGTTTCTGAGAGGTTTCTGCCTTAGTTACTATTCGAATTTTCAGATTTGCTAAAAATTAAGAAACAGTGTCGTCGGTATTAATTGTTTTTTGAGATTTTATGAGACGCGAATTGAGGAATTATTTATTTTTTAAGTAAACAGAAAAAAAATGAATTATATATATACTATTTTCTTGTTTCTACCACAGTATTTTCAACAAAATATCACTCTATACATTTTTGAACTGCAAATGAAAGCATATTCTTAAAGTGAAATAAGTAATGTTGCTTAGAGTTGAGTGTTGTGTAACACGGATAAAGCAGTAAGAAAAATACGTACACAAGTTCTCAAACTGAAACCAAAACTGGACAAAAGGCTCATTAGTGCAAATCTGAACAAAAAGACTGTACCGTGTAAAGCGACTTGTACATTCAATGTGATATTTATAAGCTATTTACACTAACACTGCACATTAAATACTGAATAAAGTTTTGAGTGGCGGACCGTTACACTCAACAAACGAACACAGATGGGCTGACTACGCGGAGAGCGCAGGAGGGGGTGGGGCGAGGTGGGAGCGGGGACGGGATACCACCGCACGGGGAGAGGGCGATCGGGGTTATGTTGCGTTGCATTGCGTTGCAACAGCGTACACGAGAGGCTGACGGATGTCACATTGTTGTATGAATGGCTTTCAATTGTATTGGAGCGCTCAACACTGTTGTCACAAATATTGCTTAAAACAACAGAGCCTAAAAGAAATGTTTGCGCAGCGCACAACTAATTAGAAGAACACAGTCACGTACCCCCCAAGAAATGTAACATCTAATTTTCTTTCAAATTTAAGTTTACTGAAATTTGGGCCAGAAACGCTTAGCAATATATTTGTACGATATGAGCCGTGAATTAAGTAGGTAGACCGCTAAACAATGATTTCGAGGGACAAACAGCGTATACATTTAATAAGAGTACATCTGTTCTCTCTTTCCATTTTCAAGAGTGCATGGTGTCCACTTTGACTCTATTGGTCAAGACGATCTGGAAAAGGTGCCCAACAAATGAAGATAAGGTTTAATATGTGTGTATTGTCCTGGAATATGGTACCATCACCAATCCGGGGCGCTCGCCATTGCACGATCATTTGTTCATTCAAGTTGACTGCGACGACGCGGAGCAAGAAACGGCATCTTCCGAAGCAACGTCCGTGTGACACGGAGTGACATCCATAAGCCCGGCGTGCTTCGTGGGGAACGCGTCCTCGCCCGTGCCAAGCGCAGCGTGCTCCGCAACACGGCCTGGCCGCAGCCTCACTGCAGCACCGAGATGGCGGGCTTCCCCGAGGCGGCGAGCGCCAGTGGCGCGGCGCCGCCCTGCGCGGGGTACAGCAGGCTGCCGGGGTGCGAAGGGAACGGCAGCTGGAAGGGGGAGTACGGCGCGATGGCCTGCGCGTGCGGGCCCAGGGAGCTCCAGAAGTGCAGCGGCGCCGGGCTCTTGCCGAAGGCCTGGTAGCCGGCGGCGGCGGCGGCGGCCGCGGCG